GTTTTTTTTAATTTTTAAACTTTTGGAGCAGGGCCCGGACCTTTTCGCATGTCTGAACTTCCTACCTGTCTCTATGTGGCCCCTTCTGTAAATCCTTGGCTCTAAGATTCTGCCTCAGCTAGTCTTCAGTTGGTTATTCAGGGTGGCCTTCCTTAATTAATTAAAAATATGTTTCTTGTTGATTTCAGAGAGGAAGGGAGAGAGAGAAAGAGAAACATCCATGATGAGAGAGAATCATGGACCGGCCGCCTCCTGCACGCCCCCTACTGGGGATCGAGCCTGCAACCCGGGCCTGTGCCCTTGACCGGAAATCGAACCCGGGACCCCTCAGTCCACAGGCTGACGCTCAACCACTGAGCCACACTGGCCGGGCTGTATCTCACCCTTTTAATCGCCTCCTGGGCTGAGGGCCCCTCAGTTTTCTTGCCTTAGAGTCGCAATGGGTGTCCCCACAGGAGTGGATTAAGGACACGCAACACCTCACCCACCTGCAGAAGGTGGAGGACCGGGAGCCGGAGGATGTGCTGATCGAGGGCTTGGAAGTCCAGCCGCCCAAGGTCGAGGCCGAGACTCCTGTGACGACGATGACGGGCCCCCCGGGCCTGCAGACGGTGGAGAAGGAAACCGCTGGGGACATTTTGCACATTAGGCTTCTATATATATAGATAAGTGTGGTTTATTGATTTCAGAGAGGAGAGGGAGAGACATAGAAACATCCATGATGAGAGAGGATCTAGGGTCGGCCGCCTCCTGCACGCCCCCTGCTGGGGATCGAGCCCACAACCTGGGCTTGTGCCCTTGACCAGAATCGAACCCGTGACCTCCTGGTTCATAGGTCGACGCTCAACCACTGAGCCACATGCACGGCTGAAGTTTTCATGTAAATCAAACCATTTTTTTCCTTGTATTCTGTTACCAGGGGGCCCTGTCACCAGCGAGGATGGGGGCATATTTCCCCCCGGAAACTCTTGTTCTAGGTCCAAATTCTCGCAGGAGATATTCTTCCTTCTCTGGGAGGGATTTGAATTCATGAAGACTCTCGGAGGTCACCCCCAAATATCTGCCCGCCCCCCAACCCCTATGGAGAGTGTATGTCACGGTTTTAATTATTATTATTATTATTAACTAGAGGCCCCGGTGCACGAATTTGTGCACCAGTGGGGTCCCTTGGCCTGGCCTGTGGGATCGGGGTGAAACCGGCTCTCCGACATCCCCCGAGGGGTCCTGGATGGCAAGAGGGTGCAGGCCAGGCCGGGGGACCCCACTGGTGCACGATCGGGGCCGGGGAGGGACCACAGGGGGGCTCCAGGGCGTGTCTGGCCCGTCTCGCTCAGTCCCCATTGGCCGGACCCCAGGAGAAAGCTCACCTACCGGTCAGAGCGCCTGCCCCCTGGTGGTTAGTGCACGTCATAGCGACTGGTCAACCGGTCGACTGTCTGCCCCTGGGGGTCAGTGCACGTCATAGCGACTCGTCGACCGGCCGACTGTCTGCCCCCTGGTGGTCTGTGCCCGTCATAGCGACTGGTCGGTCGACTGTCTGCCCCCTGGTGGTCTGTGCCCGTCATAGCGACTGGTCGGTCGACTGTCTGCCCCCTGGTGGTCTGTGCCCGTCATAGCGACTGGTCGGTCGACTGTCTGCCCCCTGGTGGTCTGTGCCCGTCATAGCGACTGGTCGGTCGACTGTCTGCCCCCTGGTGGTCTGTGCCCGTCATAGCGACTGGTCGGTCGACTGTCTGCCCCCTGGTGGTCAGTGCACGTCATCGCGAGCAGTTGACCATAATTAGCCTATCGTTAGCATATCACACTTTGATTGGTCGACCAGCCGACCGGCTGACCGGCCACTCAGCCCATTAGGCTTTTATTATTGAGGATTATTATTACTATTATTTTTTTCTTATCGAAACAAAGAGAAGAAAGAAAGGGTTTTTTCACGAGAACTATGGTGAGGCCGGGGCAGGGCGCCGATGTCCCCGCAGATAGCGGAGAATATGGGTAGCTTTATCTGCCTGGTGTCTCGAAGGTTCAGGAAGTTTCTAGATGGTTCTGATCTCGCTGCGTTGCTTGCGTGCGTGGAGGAGTTTTTTTTTTCTTTTCTTTTCTTTTTCTCTCTCTGCAGGTTTGCAGGAAATAAAACGCTGACATACCTTGAACCCGTGTGTGTGTGTGTGAATTGTGGTCATTAGCGAAATGCAATTAGAGCAAAAAAAACCCCCATATTTTCAGGGTCCACCCTCCCTCCCCTTCTCCCCCCAATAAAATCCCTTCAGGACCGATATTCAGGGAGCAAACATTTTAGGGGTGAAATCGCCCCGGACGGGGAGGCCCTGGGCAGGGCGGACCACCCACCCGCTAAGAACCTGCAGACACAGAAGAAGAAAATAAAACTAAATCCCACCGTGTTTTAGGGCCAAATAACCCCTATTCGGTCCCGGGTGTCGGGGCAAAATGGTGATTTTTTTTGGTCACATTTTGAGGATTTTGTCTGTTTTGCAATTTGGGGGTACGGCCTTCTGGTAGGAAGAGGAGAAAGGGGTGGGAGTATCTTCGTCCGATGACCTCATGTCGGGGTGGGGTGGGGTGGGGTGGCCGCAGGATCAGGGTGAGAAGGTGGGGACAGGGACCCCATAGGGCAGAATCTTGGGGATGAGCCACTCGGCGGGACCCAAATCTTTGTTTTATTTAAAAAATTGTGTGATTAGCAAGGCCTTTTTTTTCTTTTTTATTTGTGTATTTTAGAGAGAGAGAGAGAGAGAGAGAGAGATTGTTGAGAGAGACATCAATCGGCTGCCTTCTGCACAATCCTCACTGGGGATCAAGCCTTCAACCCAGACATGTGCCCTGACTCGGAATTGAACCGGCAACCTATTGTTGATGGGATGATGCTCAACCAACTCTGAGCCACTTGGCCAACCACAAAACATCAACAAACAAACAACAGATTTAAAGATGGTTTCTATAAGGTACCTGGATTCTGCAGGCTCTCAGCCTGGGCAACA